GCCGTTGGAGCACTTCGTCGCTCCTGTTGGCGCACTGCAGATTCCCGAGGACATGATGGCACACCGCACTGGTCGATGGAGTGCTTTTTGGACAGCCTGCCAATCCCACCTCGAATTGTACGGGGATTCTCGGGGTGAGCTTAAGTCCCGCACCCTCCCGGCGGTCCCAGGGCCCCCCGAAATCGAACATAAAGATGCGCATGCTGCGCGCCGCATTTCCTCGGAGACCATTGCTGCGGGGGTCGACCATTGGAAACCCCGTGATTTCCTTCATCTCGACCCTAATGCCCTTGAGGCCCTTGTTGGGCTCTTTGCTGCTTGCGAATGGACCATGATGGGCCCTACTCAAATCCACCTCGGAAACATGGCCCTGCTTCCTACAGGTGCCACCGATGAGCGGCACGTTTGCAAATGCCCGACCCTGCAGAGGGTCGATCGCAAAATCAATGGGATTGTTCTGGACCAATGGTCGAAGGAACACGCCCAGCTTTGCGACAACGCTGCGAGGGGGAATTCTGCTCTTCAGGCCACACTCAGGAAAGAGGCGCGCCACGAGGTGGCGATGTTCGAAGGATTGCATAGCGCGACTGCGCACTATGATATCACCAAAGTTCTTCGACGCGGTCGCCCCTGCTAGGCTGGCGCGGTTCGCCCGCGATTTAGGACGCCCCCCCCGACGTGCTCTGCCTTGGGCTCCTGGCCCACATGGCTCCTCGGATATTGGAAGGTTACGGCGTCTGTTCTGGCATGATCGCTTCTGGAATTGAAGTACTCTCTGGATGCGGGCAACCCGTGGCTTGGGTGAAAGTGCAGATGCACTAGATCCTGCATGCTGTCCATCACCCATATTATGATGGGGGCGCCACTCATGCGCACGTCGACGAACATTCTCAAGTTGCCCAAGGCAGCGCGGATGAGGTGCGCTCTCAAGAAGTTTCGGCCGCGGTGTATCTCGGCCACGCTCTTGAGCCTGTTGATTTAATCCTCTCCGACAAGTCGGCCCTGGTTGGGAATCGGCAGCCGCTTGCCCTGCTCTTGCTTCAGGATGTGCGCGATGATGGCCTCAAGCTGAAGTTGTCTAGAGCCACGCGTGATATGGGCACGTCTACCACGGCGGGGGAACGACGGTCTGCGAGCACCAGTCAGCGAGGGCGTCGGGATGCTGCGAACAAAGCTCGTCAGTGCAATGCCTGACTCATTTTGTGGGCGCTTGTAAGTTGTATAAACCAAGGGCCCTCGCCGTCGGGACTCGGGGCAACTCGGCGACGCGCGCGCCTGCCGCGCGACTTCGGAGCGCTCGAGGGCAGCATGGCGTTTGCTCTGGGTCCCGGCAGGCTGGCTCGTGCACCACTAACTTGATGGGGGGCCATGGGTGGTCTTAAAAACGGCCCCATGCATCGGCTCCGGCGCGAGCATCTCAAATCCGCTGTCGCTGCATGGTGCCCCCTGGGCCATGAGACGCAGATTTGCCGCCTGGAAGAGGGTCGCGAAAACTGTTGGACAGGCTCTGGCCGAGATGGGCCACTGATGCTCGCGAGTTGCGATCTTGGGGCCCTCCTTGTTGGGGCGCCCTCGGCGCCTGTGCCCCGCTTCCTTGCATATGCCACACCTCGTGATCTTCAGCAGCTGCTGTGGGTTAAGCATGACTCGACATCCTCCGCAGCCACCGCCCTTGCTTCGACCTCGCCCCCCTCCTCGCCCAGGGCTGCGCGGGTGTGGCGGGGGGGGGGGGGGGGCTGACCAGGAAGCTTGGGTCTCGCCCCGCTGCACTCGCGGTCTCGCCTCGCTGCCTTCTCGAGGTCTTTGCTTTGCTTTCCTGTCCTACCGCTGGAGCGCTGCATCTCCAACGTTGCTGACGCCTCGTAAAACTGCGTCTCATCCAAGTCCAGGTCCTCCAGCTCGGCGACAATGGGATCCTCGCCCTCGCCTCCGTCGTCGTCGTCGTAGGTGTCTCCGCCCTGGCCGTCGCCCGGGTAGGACTCGCCCTCGGCAACACCACCATCACGACCGACAGGGCACGAGGGAAGAGGGAAGCTGCCTGCTCCGCCGCCGAGGCCCTCGCCCTCAGCAGCGGCCATGGCACCCCTACTTCTGCTCGGCAAAAGACGCTGTGAGCCCGATGCGTCCATCTGACGCAGGGCCCAGCCCTCGCTCTCGAACTCGACCTTCCCGAGGGTCATCGTCTCCAGATTCTGAAGTCCCTGGGCCATCAAGCCGGCGCCCTCCTCCAGGAGGAATCCCTTGACTCTCGCCGGCGGCGCCAGGTCATGGGCTTCTGCTTCCAGAAATTGCCATTCTCGTCGCGCAACGCACTGCGTTGAGCTCTCCTTCTGTTCGCAACAGGGCGTGCCTACCAGCCCCCCGCAGGTCGTCGCCCCCCCGCTCCCCGATCATCAAGCCCACGCGCTTCAGCACCGCCTCGACCCAGCCGATCCCCGACAACGTCGACTCGGGGAGGTCGTCGAACTGGAACTGCATGGGATAATCAAAGAGCCGGAGAAATTTCTCTGCTCTGCGCCACATGGGCACGTCTGTCTTCTCATTCCATCTGCTGATCACCTTCCACAACTGCCGAAAGCGCGTCAGTATGGCCAGGCTGGTGGGTCGGAGTAGTCTCCTTTGGTGTCCTCTGACCAGCCACCCCCACCACCACCGTTGCGACGCCAATCCTTCCAGGACCAGTCCGACTGGTCCTCGGCCCAGGTTTGCTCCGCCTCGCCCTTGTCGTCCCAGGAGCCCTGGCGCCGCTCACACCGGTCCTTCCACTGATCCGTACTTCACTCGTTCCCCGGAGGGGCCGCCGCGTTCGTGGACACATTTGCCGCCGCCTGCCAGGGGCCCTGCGCGTGGAGCTCATCCTCTGAAGCCTTGGGTTTCGCGTCTCCGCCGCTGCTAGAAGCGGCCTCGGACATGGTCTCGCGAACAACCCTGGCCACTATCTGTCGCAGCTGCTCGGCCGAAAGGGTGCCCTTCCCAGCGCCAGCTGTCTGCGCGCCTTGCGCGCCCTCTCCGCCGTCGCCGCTCATCACCGCCATGTTGACGTCCGTGTCGTGTTGACCGTCCGCGAGCATCTCCGCGGTTCGCGCCGCCTGTCGGCGCAAGCCCAGCCTGTCAGGGGCTCGCGAACGGCGACCGGCCGCGACCTTCACGATCGGCAGTCACCGCCAACGGCTCTCCGGCGGGGCCAGGCTCCGCTACCAACTGTGGCAACCGCAAAGGCATGCAACATTTTTCTCTTGAGCCAAGACGTCGAGTAACGTCGGAAACCTTGGGTAAATGACACACGCAAGACCTATAACGTAAGATTTGCCGTCCTGATTCACGACGACGACGGCGGCGGCGGCGGCGGCGGCGAAGGCAAAGGCGACTGCGACGGCGGACAACAACGCCCTGCGGATGCTTCACGGGGGGAGGGCGGGTATGCGGCGCATGCCCGATGTACCCATGTAACCGTCAACGACGACGACAAAGACGACGACAACGACGGCGACGACGACGACGCAGTGCGGATGCCCACTGGGGAACTGTGTAGGACCGCTGTACTTGACGACGACGACGACGACGACGACGGCGACAAAGACAACGACGACGACGACGACGACGACGACGACGACGACGACGGCGACGACGACGACGACGACGATGACAACGACGACGACGACGACGACGACGACGGCGACGACGACGACGACGACGACGACGGACGACGACGTCGGACTACGGACGACGACAACGACGACGAAGACGGCGACGACGACGACGACGACGACGACGACGACGACGACGACGGACGACGGACGACGGACGACGGACGACGACGGCGACGACGACGACGACGACGACGACGACGACGACGACGACGACGACAGCGACGACGACGACGGACGACGATGACGACGACAACGACGACGACGACGACGACGACGACGGCGGCGACGAAGACGACGACGACGACGACGACGACGACGACGACGACGACGACGACGACGACGACATCGACGACGACGACGACGACGACGCAGACGACGACGACGACGACGCACTGCGGATGCCCCATGGGGGGGGCTGCGTAGGCCGGCTGTACATGACGACGACGACGACGAATGACGATGACGATGACGATGACGATGACGACGACGATGACGATGAGGACGACGACGACGACGACGGAAGACGGACGACGGACGACGGACGACGAACAGACGACGGACGACGACGACGACGACGACGACGACGACGACGACGACGACGACGACGACGACGACGACGACTCTGGCACGTCAGAAATCAGCATGGGAGAAGAAAAAATTCGCCTCGGATGTATACGATCCCTATAACAACTCTAGGACAATTTCTATGCAAGAAGCAGTCGTACTGAGGCTGCCATGCAATTTTGCACACGATCCCCTCGGCGGTGCTCGCGACGACCCCCTGGCGCGCGTGATGAAAGAAAATGTTTCCCGCCCCGCGGGGTCTGTTCATCAGCCCTGGAGGGGGGTGCTGCCGGCAAGAGTATTTTTTGGCAAGATGACACCCGCGGCATTCGGCGCGCGGTTTGCCGATCGCTGAATGCGATGCATGCATGGCGGCCTGCGAGCAGGGGTTCGGCCCGAGAACGCAAGATCGAAACCGAATCGGAAACCACTGCTTCGCACGCATGTCTTCTCATTGTGTATGGTCTCGGGGCGGTATGGGGGGAGCCGGCTGTCATGCTGTTCGAGCGCTAATGATTCAAAACTACTCGGGAGGAGAAGGAGGGAAGAAAGGAGATTCACACAATCAGGTGTTGCGACTACCGCATGTGGGCGAGATGTTGAATTCTTGCGTAGGAAGCACGGTACCGCATACTTACAAACACACAGAACATATACTACTTTGTGGGGCCCCACGGAAAACAAAAAACAACAAAAAAAAAAGTTGTGTCAACCGTGGATGATCCCCTCCAGCTCCCCCGATAGGACGCCCCAGGCGCACCCGCCGCGAACAGGCCGCGCGCGGGCCTGAACTTGTAGGGGTCGTCCCAGCTGAACTCCCAACCTGCACGCGCCAACGGCCAACCGCCAACGGCAACCTCGCAACCTCCCCCCCTCTTCCCTCCCCTGCCCTCGCCTCTGTGCCCCTCTTCGTCCTCCTCCTCCTCCTCCTCCTCCACCTCCTCCTTCTAATCCTCCTTCTGTTCCTCCTTCTGCTCCCGCTCCTCCTCCTCCACCTCCTCCACCTCCTCCTCCTCCGTCTCCTTCTCCTCCGCCTTCTCCTCCTTTTCCTCCTTCCTCCTCCTTTCTCCTCCTTCGTGCCACTGCACAACGCCAGAGGGCGACGATCCCTTGACTCCGATGGCCCACACTCGTGGCCACGCGGCCCGCACGCTGCCCGCAGAACCGCCGAGCCTAAGCTGGAGCCCGGACCCTTTCCGGAAATGGGTAGGATGCAAGAGGGTATACCACACACTGAACCATCCAATACAGACAAAGGCGCGCTATTTCAAGCCGTGCTGGTGGCTCGTTTGGGCCCTGTCTCGGGACCCTGGTACCCACCCAGCACCCCAGGGGAGGGACTAAGGACCTCCCCCAGGACCCCGAGGGCACGCCTCCAAACAGCGCCTGCGCGAAGAGACAAAAAAAACAAACGCACCGTTTGGAGTCCAAGCGGCCCCAGGGGTGTGGCAACACGCAACGGCCTTCTCAAGTTCACATAATCGTCCGGCGTGAGGCTAGCCCGTACCACCTTCTACTCGAACTCGGCCTCTAGGGTCGGGGATGGACAGACCCCCCTTTAGTAAAACGTGGTTTAGTGAAAACGACCTGAGGCCCAAACCTGGCGGGCGCAAGCCTGGAAAATAACGGCCACGGCGCCCTCTCGAGAGCCGAAAACGGACAATTCACTAATCGACGTGTCACTGTTGGGGGTTCTGTCCACCCCCGATAGGGGCGCCCCAAGTCATCGCTGGCCAGGTCATATTACTCTGCATTCCAGGTGTCATCAATCGGGTAGGCACTGCCATCCTCAAAGCCATCTGGGCACTCGTCGCTGCTGGTTTGCGAGTCCTCGTGCCATCGCAGCAAGTTTGCGGCGGAACAGGGCATGGGTCGCTGGCCCACAAGTATCCGGTCCTTGTGTGCCGCGTAATGGTTCTGAGCGGACAGGACCACCTTGGTGGGTCCGCGAGGGCCCAGCGCGCGGACCATCTCGCCCCTATCCCCATAGTGGCCGCCAGCGCGCATGTCTACGGGCACCATCGTGTCGTAGGCCTAGTTCTGATCGGGGGTCGTGCATTTCACGATGGCTCCGGTGGAGAGATCCTCAGTGATAGCCCCCCTCGTCTCTCATAGTCCGGAGGAATTCCGAACCTTCCAGTACGGCGTGGATGATGATGATGATGATGATAATGATGATGATGATGATGATGATGATGATGATGATGATGATGATGATGATGATAATAATAATGATGATGCTGACAGTCAGAAAACGTGATCCACCGCCGCTCTACTTTGGAAAATTCCCCCCCTCCCTTCCTCCGGAACCTGGGGATTCTCCCCCGCTTCGAAAATCCCCCCCTCCCCCTGCTGGACCCCCCCCCCTCCCCCCGGCAAAACCCCCCGTCAACCCCCCCCCTCTCCAAAAAACCGCGGGGGGGGTCACTGCCGGTTCGACCCCCCCCCTCCAGAAAACTGGGGGGGGTCACCACGGGTTCGAAGCACCCCCCCTCCAGAAAACCAGGGGGGGCTCACTACCGGTTCGAACCCCCCCCCCCCCTTTCCAGAAAACCGAAAGGGGGGTCACTACCGGTTCGACCCCCCACCCTCCAGAAATACGGGAGAGGCCACTGCCAGTTCGAACCCCCCCCCCTCCTACTTCACCGCTGGCAAACGACTCCCAGGTCCCCGCCACCGTCCGCACCACATCCCCTGTGCTGTCCCCAGCATCAGTCACCACCACCTCTGTCCCCACTGTTCCCACCACCGCCCCCACTGTCCCTACAAGTGCCCCCACCAATCGCCCTGTCCCCACTGTCCCCACGACTGTTCACACCACGGTCCCACTCTCCCCACTTTCCCCACGGTCCCCACCACTGTACCACTGTCCCCACTGTCCCCACTGTCACACTGTCCCCGCCGCTGTCCCACTGATCTTTCCCCACGGCCCCACCATTGTCCCCATTGTCCCCACCACTCTCCCCACTGCACCACCGTCCCACTGTCCCACCACCGTCCTCGCCACCGCCCTCACAAGTGTTCACACCACCACTGCCCCCACCACTGTCCCACTGTCCCCACCAGTGCCCCACCGTCCCCACACCACTGTCCCCACCACCACCGTCCCCACCACTGTCCCAGTCCCCACCACTGTCCCATTGTTCCCACCATGGTCCCCACTGTCCCCACCAATGCCCCCACCACTGTCTCACTGTCCCCAGTCTCCCCACCATTGCCCCACCACGGTCCCACCCTCCCCACTTTCCCCACGGTCCCCACCACTGTCCCACTGTCCCAACTGTTCCCACCACTGTCCCACTGTCCCCACTGTCCGCGGCGGTGTCCCACTGTGTCCCACTGTCCCCACCGTCCCCGCCACTTTCCCGCTGCCCCACAGTCCCCACCAGTCTCCCCACTATAGTACTGTCCCACCACCGTCCTCACCACCGCCTTCACAACTGTCCCCACCACTACCGTCCCCACCACTGTCCCACTGTCCCCACCGTCCCCACCACTGTCCCAATATCCCCATCACCATTGTTCCCACCACCATCGTCCCCACCACTGTCTCACTGTCCGCACCACTGTCCCACTGTCCCCACATCACTGCCCCTGCCACCACCATCCCACACCACTGACCGAGGAGCGGGAATCGTTTGCCGGCACCGAAGAGGAGGGGGGGGTCGAACGGGCAATGCCCCCCCCTTTCATGATGGACTGGGGAGAGGGGTCAAACTGGTAGTGACCTCGCCCGTTTTCGAAGGGGGGGACGGGTTGGGAACCCCCAGTGCCCTTCCCCGGTTTTTCGCCAGCAACGGTAGAATATGGTCATTATACCGATGACGATGATGATGATGATGATGATGAAGATGATGATGATGGTGATGATGCTTGTTAGTATCAGTATTATTATTAGTATTAGTATTAGTATTAGTATGATGATGATGATTATGTAAATGATCATACTGGGTTCGCTCTGCGCTTCGTTCTCATCGTCCTCCTCGGGCGAGCCCAGCTTGCGAGGCACAGCCTGTGGCCCTCGTAGCCCACCAATGTCATCGTAGCTGTGGCAGTGGCTCTCGAAGCTCTGTTCGCGGCCCTTGTAGATCAGCTGGTGGCGCTGGCCGCTCTGCTGGAGGCTCTCGCGGCTCTGCTCGTGCCCCGCGTAGCTCAGCTTGAAAGCGCCCTCGAAGCTCAGTCGATGGCCCTCGTAGCTCAGCCGGCGCCCCTCGCCGCCCTGCCTGTAGCCCTCGGAGCTCAGCTCGCGGCCCTCATCGCTCAGCTCGCGGCCCCCGTGGCCGAGCTGGTGGCTCTCGCATCTCAGATCGTGGTCTGTGGGCTCTGCTCGCGGCCCTCGGGCCCCAGCTTCGCGCCTTCGTCGCGCAGCAAGTGGTCCACGCAGCTGCGCCAGTGGCTCTCGAGGATCTGCTCGCGGCCCTTGAATTTCAGCTCGCGGCAGCTCTGCTCGCGCCCAGCGCAGCTCAGCCCGTGGCCTTCGCAGCTCAGCGGGTGGCCCCCATAACTAAACTAGCGGTCGCCGTAGTCCTTCTCGTAGTCCCCGGACCTCGTCCGGCGGCCCTCGCAACTCTGCTCGTGGCCTTGGTAGCTCTTCTGCTGGCCCCCGTAGTGGCCCTGGTAGATCAGCCGATGGGTCTCGCAGCTTTGCCCCTGGCCCTCGCGGCTCAGCCTGCGACCCCCGCGGCACCACTGCTGGCTCTCGAAGCCCAGCAGGCGGTCATCGAGGCTCTGCGTGTCGCCCAGAAAGTTCGACGCTCGACCCTCCCAATTCTGCTAACGCCGGTGCAACTCCGCGGGTGGCACAGGTGGCTCTGCCCGTCGCCCTTGCAGCGCTGCTCGCGGCCCTCGGAGCTCTGTCAGAGGCTCTCGCAGCCCCGCCAGCGGTTCCGGGAGCCCTGCAGGCGGCCATTGCGGCATTACGCGTTGCCGTTGAAGTTCGGCCCGAGGCCCTCGGAGCTCCGCCTGTGCTCTGGCAGCCCAGAGCCCTGTGGCACAGCGCCATCGTGTAGGCCCCCCCCCTCCTCCAGGTCGACGCCAACCCAGATGCCGGGCGTCGAGTCTGGGGGGCGGGGGCCAGCCGAGACCAGCAGCCAGCCCCGCCCTTCCCCCCGGGGACGCAAGCGCCCTGGCGGCGGCCGCAACCGCAGCCCAGGTAGCTGTCGCAGCCGTCGCAGCCTGCGCGGCCGCACTCGAAGGGCCCGGCGTTTCCCAGGTGGCCCCCGCTGCCCTGGATGGACGCGTCGTTCGGAGGCGCGGCTGCGCCAGGGGAGGGTACCTCTATGGTCACGCAAGCGCGGCACTCGCGGTCATAGTTGGCGCGCTGGCGGTCGAGATCGTAGTTGCCGTTTTCGCTGTCGCAGCGGCCGCAGTTGCCGTCGCCGCTGCCATGCTGACCCTCAGAACCTGGCTGCGCGCAACGCAGCCACGCCCTTCGAATAATGATCGCGCTGTGCGCAGCTCGTCGCGCTCGGTCTCGCTGGCGGCCTTAGCGCAGCCAGGTGCATTGACGCAAGCGGCGTCGGCGACGATCGCGATGTGTTTCGAGCCCCCCCCCCGCCACTCGCCGCAACGGCCTGCGCCGCCGCCCCGGCGCTCGCACCCCGCGCGGCGACCTCGCCACGGCCCGCGCCCTCAGCTGCGAGACGAACAGAAATTCGGAGCAGGGCAACTGGCCTTCATGCAGCACGGCCACCTCCGCGACGATCACGTCCTGCGCGGCACGCTCTGATTGTTCACCACGATGGTTACGCATCCTGCGCGCCCTTCCTGGATGAGCATGCCCTTCTTGCCCCACCTCGCGCCCCTACCCCCCGCGGGGCGCCT